ATCTCACAATAATAAATTCGATCTTTCTTCTTTATAAGAGATTATAAAGTATTAAGGGCATTTATTATGTGCATAATGATGTGTCTTATTTGAGTAAAACTTTAAAGACCAATATTAATACGTATTACTGTATTACATACCCGTCGTTATTCCACGATCATCACAACGATCTCGATTATTCACGAGATGATCAACAAAATCTAACCAATCACAATGAATGTTCGCTATGCTGGTTCGAATACTTCCGCACAAGGTGTATAACGTGCCAATGCTGCGAGAAAATCATCTGGCAAAGGTAAAAGATCAAATTCGTCCAACCCATATTCAATGAGACAGAAGATCGCAATCATTTTTTTGTTTTCAATCTTGAAATGAACGTCCTCCATGGTATTTGGCACTAAACCACTCTGACTGTAAACTCTATAAGTGGTTATGTAGTTGTTAGCAACGTCACAAACTTGTTGCTTGTAACTGAGATGTTGTGCATGGTGTAAATCGTCTTTGACTCGTTCAATGGCAAAGTCAAAATTGTCGCTAAAGTAACTGTCGACATTAGTATACCAGCTGGCGCCTAAAGGAGTACTAAGATTGACTCCTATGGCATGGTCTAAGTAGGCGGGGGTATTTTTGTTATCGATGATGATTTGGTATGGTGCCAAAGCCAATTTTTTAAGGAATTGATAATCGGCTTTATTTACATATTGCAGTACATTATTGAACTCCTTAATCTTCCCCAAGTAATAATCATCAGACTTAATATCGTATTCAGTAAAGCGGAGTAAACCAGGGTCGAGTTCAAGGGCTTGGTAATCACACAATATGCTGATTAAAGATAAACAAACATCTAAGTTTGCGTTAGCTCCGTTCTTGAGATAAGCCCTAAGGGTTCCGATCATGTCGCTTGGCTTAGCTTTATTTACACTGAGTGCATAAAGTAACCATTCTTTAAATAACTCCATATCGATGAAATCTTGGCTGAGTCCCAATGCCTCAACATCAACAAAATTCCTAATGCTGGTTAGTTTTGGGAACGTGAAAACTCGCTTGGTTCTCACTGGATATTGATCACGTGAGAACATGACTAGATGTTGAGCGTACCAAGTTTGGAGTATGTCCATACTGAATTCGTTATGTCCGGTACTATCGAAAAAATCAAGCCAGTAGACAGACTGCTTGACATCTTGTTCATAAGCTCCTGCTTCATCATCTTCAGGAAGATAGGTAAAACCACCATCATCGTGATGTACTAGAGTGTAAAGCTCGGGATATGCTGACGTATTCTTAGCGTAGCTCCGTAATTCAACGGGACACATTAGAGTGGCATAAATGCGTTTAACTGCTGGATTTCTGGAGTAAAACTCGTCGATCTGGGATACAGTTAAATAATGTAAGGCATCGTGAATAAAAACGGAAGGTGTGATGATGCCATTTATCTGGTTGAAAGTAGTGGGTGTAAGAGAATTGTAACGAGTGGTGTCTTTACCAGTTTGAATTGGGTTACAAACTGCCACGTTGATATTATGATTAGAGAAAGGTCCTACTAATTCACGATGGACTTTTTCCGGTTTGCAAAAAATGGCAGTGAAGTCCTCTTTTATAGTATATGCTAATTTAGCTAACATAGCATTTTCTAAATTTTTATGAGCGGGATGTGCGTGAGAACCGCAAGAAAACTCGCTGTAGTTGATGCCAACTTTAAGTAAATATTTGACCAATTTTTTCCCGACAGCGTAAGGCGCTGTGTCGATGGCTATTTTTTGATGAAGTAAAATATGGTTGATAATTTCACTTTCTGAAAGATTTCTCTCTAAAGGGCTTCTCAACTGCTCTAAAGCAGCGGTGATTGGTGAAGCCTCCATGCCGGGCCGCTGTATATCGGGCAGTGGCGTTTCTTTGCGGGGTATTTAAGGATTTAGCATGCAATGAGAAATCTTTAGTTCATATACTTCAAGGTCACTATATATAACATATCTGCATAGCGAACTTTTATTGTGATTGGCTGATTTTTGTAGATCATCTCGTCATACTAAAGTATTATTAAAGTAACGATTTTCCGTCACGAGAGTCACAAGAATTGATTCGCAGCCACGAATATGAATTCGCAGAGGTTGTGATATAAATATTTAGAACCTATACCTTCTTTTCTACAAGACGGTAAAGTAATTTGGTAATCGGTGAGGTAATTCGGAAGTTAGATGAGAACCATTTTTTAAGTATTCTAAAACTTTCTATTTAAAAACTATATATATTTATAGTTTTCTCAAGACGTTGTTTGCAGGTTTATAAATAACAGGTTAGATGATATGTTTATTCTTTTTTATGCTTTTACTATTGTTACTTTTAAAATGATATTTTATTTTACTCTACGTCTCTTTGCAGGATTAAGTTAGTGTTGTTAGCAAAAGAGTATATGTAGATTTATTAGATTCTATATTTTCAATTCGAAACCCTCAAATTTTAGCACTATTTGCAATATTTAATGAAAACATATAGAAAGGCAAAAAGAAACTGTATTAATTGACAGAATAGATAAAATTTATTAATCCCACAATAATAAATAGGATTAGGAATAACTGGCTCAGCTTAGTTCAGCTTAAAAAAGCTGCTAAAGTGAGCTCAAGTTGGTTCAAGTTGGTTTAATTTGTTTTATATAATTAATATTTTAATTTTAATTTAAAGTTTTTAAACTAGTTTGAGTTTAATATATTACTGTTATTACTTATAAATTATATATAAAATTTTGATATAACATATTTTAATATTTTTTTATTAATTGATAATCTGTTAATTATTTAAAGAATAATTTTAATATAATATAATGCAAATTTTCTATATTTTTTATTATAAACAAAAATGCAATATATATTTATTTATAACTTTTTTTTTATATTAAGTTAATAGTTCAAGTTAATTAATTAAAAGTTATAGAACTCATTAAAATGCATCTAATCATAATTAAATCATCCAAATTGGTTTAGTAAATGTTGAGATATCATCAAAAAATAATTAACTAATTATATAAAATTTTATATAAATAAACTATTATTTATATATATAATTAGCCAATCATTTTTAATAATATCTTAATATCTACCAATCTAATTTAGATAATCTAACTATCATTAAATATATTTTTATAAGCTCTATAATTTTTAATTAATCAATTTAAACTGTTAACTTAGTATAAAAAAAAGTTTAGATAAGTATATATTGTATATTTATAATAAAATATAAATTAGTTCATTGTATAACAAATTCAAATTTATTATTTTGTGAATCAGTTTATAGAGTAACAAATTCAAATTTATCACAGTATGAATATTAGTTTATAATATGACAAATTCAAATTTATCACTTCATAAATCAGTTTACAGAATGATAACTTCAAATTTGTTACATAATAAATTAATTTATAATGTGATAAATTCAAATTTGTCATTCTGTGAACTGATTCATGAAGTGATAAATTCGAATTTGTCATATAATGAACTAATTTATATTTTATTATAAAAATATACAATATATACTTATCTAAATTTTTTTTTATACTAAATTAACAGTCTAAGTTGATTAATTAAAAATTATAGAGCTTATAAAAATACATCTAATAATAATTAAATTATCTAAATTAGATTGGTAGATATTAAGATATTCATTAAAAATAATTGATTAATTATGTATATAAATTATTTTTATTTTTTTTAAATGTTAAGGTAAGTATATGCAACTTAGAATTTTATTAATAGTATAAGTTGACCAACATCTGTTGATGTACAGATGCAGAAGTGATCATAAAAAAAGTGTACAACTAGTCACTCATATAACTTTAGTTATTATCTAATTTAAATAGTCTGCTTAAAGGTTCTATATTAGTTGCTATACCTAGAACCTACCTGTAAATCTTTTATTTAAATACTCTAATTTTGTATCTACTACACTCTATTAGTGATTTCAGTAAACCAGTAAAGATATGTCATAATCACTAAGTTATATTTAACTTTGTACTAAATCTATTAATATATTTTATATTCTATACTTATAGCTTACTTGGTCATACTTTGGTTTAAACTATTACTTGCAGTCAGGGCTAATCATTAAACTACTTTTACTTTTGTAAAGTTTACCCAAAACCCAGTATCCATCTTTCTGATATTCTCTTCATCATCCTCTACTAATTGCTACTTAGAACTAACAGAACTCTCTTGACTTCCAATTCAGATAGTCTAGTATGATATATCTTAGTATTCTTTTTCTTCAACAATTTTAGCAAACTGGTTAGTAATATGCTCTTCTATACATCTTGCTATTCGGTTTATCTACTTATTACTTTGGGGTGTTTCATGGCTTTTTATTAGTCTAATAGCATTATCAAAAGTTTTGTGTTATTTTCTTATTTAGGATTTCCAAGTAGATTTTCAACTTTTGAGTCCTTCACTTTTTATGCTTAGTGGTCTTATTATAGGTTTGCATTAAAGTTTTATGCAACACTAATTATTAACATTCCTATATATAGATGTAACATTACATTTAGCATAGATGCCTCAATCTTTTATTTGAGATAATATAACTAAAGATTACAGATATACTAATCCAATCAATTAACAAAAACAGTTATCATAATACAAATCTATTTTTCAAAATTTGTTATTCATGAAATTTGAACTCTAGATCTGCCACTTGGAGGTTGATAACCTGACCACTTTGCTAGATCACTACATTCTATTATATATATAAATAATAATTTATTTATATAAAATTTTATATAATTAGTTAATTATTTTTGATGATATCTCAGCATTTACTAAACTAATCTAGATGATTTAAATATCATTAAATGTATTTTAATAAGCTTTACAACTTTTAATTAATTGACTTGGATTATTGACTTAATACAAAAAAAAAGTTATAAATAAATATATATTGTATTTTTGTTTATAATAAAAAATATAAATTAGTTTATTATATAATAAATTTAAATTTTTTTTTTTAGTATTAAGGTGACCTCTTTGGTCTTTTGACTTTTATTAATTACTTATCAGTATTGTGGTTCAATGAACTACTACAGA